CACACACACACACACACACACACACACACGAACAACAAGCAAAGACATGCTCAAAGGGCTTCTCTGTTGTTGACTTGTCCGGTTCTTTGAGTCTGTGTCCTGTTGGCCATTGACCTTTGATTGATGGACAGATGCTTTTACCAAACCGGTTGAACATCAAGGCTTTCAGAGATGGTTTTGTGACCGTTTCCAGTTTAAAGCAAGTCATAAGTTATTAATTGTAGATGTTCTGAGATCTGTTTAGTTTGAGTAATGGTTCACGTCAGGCCAATAGCGAAACAGTGTTATTTTAGAAGAAATTATTTTCTGTAACATTATAGTTTTCGTTAATTTTGAATTGTATTTTATTTTTATGGTATGTTTTCACTTTAATTTCAGTTAGATTTTTAGTCATTTTATTATGTGTTTTTGTATTTGTTTTTATACATTTTTTAATTATGTCTATATATTATTTATTAATTTCTAATTACTAGTTTTAGTTATTTTAGTACTAAAACTTTAGTTGACACATTTCTCATTTTTATTTAGTTTAGTTTTTATATTTATATATATGTTTCAGTTATTGTATATTTATTTCCAGAATCAAATATGTTTTTTTTTTTTTAAGGGTTTTGGTTTTAGTTTTAGTTAATAAACTTAGGGAACGCAAAAGTCTTTTTTTCGTGTTACTGATTCAAGTGAACTTTTGGAGAAGTCATTAGCCTGAGGATTCACATACTTTTGAATGGAAACATTATAATTTGTGTAATTTGTGTTTAAGCAGATTATGTTTGTCTAATGATGTGACTTAATTGAAGATTAGATTAGAAGATTATTTCCTTGCAACTGCATTCCAGGTTTCTGTTATACAAGTTAGCTTGTGCAGTTTCCACCATTATTATACCGTCGATTAACCCGAATGTGCGAGCCAGGAACAGAATAAAAGAACAGATTTGATCTCACTGAGAGCTTTAATAAGAAAAGACACAAGGCAATGGCAGAAGTGTGGATGGAGTTAATGGACAGAAGGGAGATAATGGATTTTGGAGGAGTTTTGAGTAAGGAAAAGGCAGATTTTGTACCCAAAGGACTTGTTGACATTTTTGGCCCCTTTTGATTGCTCACCAATTCTGTCTCCCTGTTAATGGTGCTTTCTTCCCCCCAGGGAAAGGAAGGAAGGGGAAGAAAATCTCAAAAACATCCGTGACAATTATCCCTGTGTAAATGGAGATAGACTGTGTGATTGCTGATCACTTTAGCCACATCCTGTGCAGATAACGTGTGTTATTTTACTATTAGTTATATGCTATTGTAGTTATTTATTTATTTATTTTAAATTTTGAATTACTTGTTATTTTTACACTTTCAGTTTTCATTTTAATTGAATTTTTAGTAATTTTGTTATCGGCTTCATAGTGTTATTAAACGGGTCATCGGATGCTACATGCACTTTTACAAGCTGTTTGAACTGAAATGTGTGTTGGCAGTGTGTACACAACCA